AATTTCCAACCACCTCTGATAACTCAGCTAGTTTGCTCTCTAGGGTGGCTACTCTCTCTTCTTCCGCTTCTCGGAGCTGTTTCAAGACCTCCTTGGATTCCTTGGCTTTCTGCTGCTCTACTTCTACTTGTATCCTGTGTTGGGCCTGGATACAAGATCAGGGAAACGTTAAAATTTCACAGTGTTTGAGGAGTCTAGAATGTTATGCACTGCAACCATCTTCCTGGTCAGTGTTTTTGTTCAATAGTGATACAAATGAGTAGACCTCTTGTGCATATCCCCCCGTAACAAAAGCACTGACCAGGAAGACAGCTCTATTCTTGGCATTATGAAAAGTAACTATGAAAAGTTTATAACTTGAACGAAAGGGCTAGAATTAGCGACGGCTGTGGTAAGTCGTAGTTAGACCAACATCACCTGAAAGGCAAATCATGGATGTTTGGCCCATCTGGTCAACAATTTGGAACAGGCCCTGGGGCACAGTCACCCCTACGATTATTGTCACGTGACACTAACGTGACACTAACTGTAGGAGATGTCATTGTGTAAAGAAAACTGTGAGAGCTGAAGCCTGGGGAAAATGTGACGATGACATTGACCAAAATAAGCCAGGTTGGAGTGATAACAATTTGCTGACCACTTTTCCCTGGTAACGTGTTCACAAAATTCTATCCCGAGTACCAGGCAAAATCAACTCATGGCCAAACTACAGTCAGTGCTCAAACTTGCCAATAGTTTGAGTGTGACTGTTTACACACTGAGGTGCACTTCAGCTCCGGGCAGATAGAGGTGAGATAAGATGTAGCATATACTTAGACCACTGCAGGTCTGGTTCCCTACCTTCATTTCAGCCATTTCTTTCTGTAGCTGGACCAGTAGTGGTGAGGGTCTTGATGCCTTCTGCTCAGCCGCTCTAAGCTGGCTCCGGACCGCGTCAAGATCTCGGTTGAGATTCTTGACGTGTTCCTCATATGCTGCCGTTCTAAGAATGACATGATAAATGTGAACATTCTTAACAACAGCAACGGCAAAAATAGTAACAGCATTCGTAACTATGTCTTCAGAATCGTATCCATTACCAAAACAGTTGAACCTCGTTAATAAGAGCACTGTTAAAACAAGATTCTGCTTATGACAAGGAATTTTTAGGTCCCAATACAGTTTTTCGTCATTTTCAATCCTGATAAACAAGGTTCCTGTTATAACAAGGTAATTTGCCAAGTCCGAAGGACCTCTGATTAACAAGGTTCAACTGTACATATTCATTTATTTTCTCTGAAGTCAAGATGGTACAATTTTGTGTGCATTCCTTGAAAACTGGTCACAGCTGTGGCTTAACTCTCATTCGATCCACACAGTTTGAGACTGTCATTCAATACTCTGGCAGGAAGTCCCCTCCAATAATATGCACATCAAAACCAAGTTGTCAGACATTTTTAGCCGTGGTGAAAGTTTTCAAAAGCTGTATTCAAGGTACTTACTTGTCAGGTTGTGACTTTGCAATAGCAAGTCCATCCTCTAGATCTACAAGCTGTGATCAAACATAAAGAAAATATATGTTTCTATCATGTATAACACGGGATATTTGTTTTGTCCTAATTCCTGGAGTATTTTGCTAAGAATGTCCCCACATCTTCCATCATCTGCCACTTTTGCAGGAAATCAATGGCACATTTTATACTTCAACTTCCAAGGACCATCAAGCCTCATGTAAAATAACAGTGGCTAGGCTTGACCTTCCTCAATCCTAGAAAAAAAATCCTCCACAAATCCTCCTGGAAGATGTCAAAGGATTTGGGAGATACAGCATTTAAAACATGACAGGTTAGAGAGCAAATCTAATGTTACTTTGCAATATTATCACCACTTTAAGCCTAACCCACTAGGGCCTTTTTGCTAGGGCACATCCTCAATTCTCCACAATCCTCTAATCTTTGCATTTATGCTCCAGATGAGAGGTACAGCTGGGTACCTCTGGAGGACCGAAAAGCTCCTGGGTCCTTCAAAATCCTCCGTCAATTCCTGCCACTATGTTGAAGCAGTGCAAATGGCTTTCTCAAGGAGTGCAGTTGATTTCAAAAAGATGGCCGGTTGAATTTATGCATAACGAAGCATAAACAACACAAGGTCTAACCCACCACCTTTACAAATGGCATCCTTCACCATCAGCCATGTACGTTTGCCATTCAGTTTCAATCCTCCAAATCCTCCAAAACTGCCTGAAGGATTTGAGAGGATTGAGGAGGGTAAAGATTAATGGTTGAGTCTTACTTTAGTCTCTAGTCGTTCTTTGTCGTTCCGTTCCTGGGCTAGTAGCCCCTGCAGCTCTCTGATCATCACAGCATGGTCCACATGCTCTTGTTCTCGTTCCTGTTGTTGTAGCCTAGATTTTGTCCTTGCCTTTTGACACATTTTTGAAACACAGGAAGATGACAAGATAGTACCGTGTCATTACAACAAACAATTTTTTTGCCAATGTTAAGGCAAACTTAGCTTTTTGTTTCAGTAAATTAAGATCTGAAACTCAACAGCAATCCAATTAGGGTATTCTCATTTAATTTTCTGAAGTGCTCAGAACACCCAAACCATCTCACCAAAGGATTGGTTTTTACCCTCATAAAGATGAGAAAAATTAGAGTACCCTTTATGTTATCTTAGCCGACAGCAGGTGAATAGTCAGATGGTAACCAGTCAGACCAACTGGAACAAAAGGGTGGATCTGGGCCCCCCCCCCAAAAGAAAAAAAAAGGGCCCCAATAAATGTTTTGAAAAACAAGAAGAGAATGGTGATTTTTTTGTCTATTTCCGAGAGCTTAAGAAAATCAATTCAGCTTCAACCCTAAGGAAGGCCATCAAGGTTACAGATAAAATTTCACACGTTTTTTCTAACCCCCCATAAAGTATGACCCCCAAAACAATTGGGCTGTGAATCTACCTTGCCTGCACAAAGACAAACAACGCAACACTCCAACAAACTGACAGATTATTAACTGACCTCACTGAGTTGCTCCTGTAATAAATCTCTCGCCTTCTCAAACTGTTCCTTGCCTTCTTGATGTTGTTTCAGAGTCTCCTCAAATTCTTGCTGTAGGACAGAAAAAGGGAAAAGGAATGATAAATACCTCAAATTTGACCACACCAATTTGCTAATTCCTATTTAATGAAATCATCTCAAGAAGAAGGCATGTAAATGAACATGTTTTGCAATTGTTTTAACTTCTGGTTAATTCAATGAGTTTTTGGGGCATGCATATGCAGAGAAGTGAGCATTGTCATAGCAACCAGACTATACATGTAGTAAAAATCTACTCAGTATCAAAAACAGACACAAAATTTACTTTCCCCCCAGAAAATTGATGCTAAACTTAAATTGACTCTTACACGCAGTTTCTTTTTATCGGCTTGGAAACTAGCCTCCATCTTGGACTTTTGGGCAGTTACGGTTGCTAGGGCAGCGGTAAGTGTGCTGAGTTGCTCCTTGAGTTGGTGGTAGTTTGCGTTTCCTTCCGTCTCAGTGGATTCTGAGTCAGATGCATCCTTTGGTCAATAAATTACAAATCAATTTCTCTTTGAGAAATGGAAATAAAAACATATTTGACAATGTCATATAAACAATATAAAACCTGTAATTACAGGAACGTAAACACACAATCTAGTCCGAGCTGTTCCATCAGTCCAAACCATCCAAACGAGGAGAGATATGGACATGCATGCATCCTGAGAGGTGGATTGAATTTTACAGTCTGGATGGGTCAAATAGCCACAGACAGTCACAGAGTAACAGACCTGAATAATACACATGTACCATACAACAAAATGTTATCAGCATGTACAACTTAACAAGTCCAATTCAACAGTTTGTAACTTTGGGATGATTGTCTTAACAAATGTACTCATGAATATTCATGTAAATAAATGACGTACATTATTCATATGCTGCCAGCTGAGATAAAGATGCTGAACACTGTAGATATTCAGAGACTTTATAGCAACATTTCTGTCAAAATGTCCTGACTGATTGCTTCCCTCAAAATTCTTGGGTTGTGCTCATTCAACTGAAAAACTGGCGTTTATTATTCGCATCAGTGAATAAGTGTCTGCAAATGAAGTGACCGGCCGTGGTCTTTGTGATTAGAATAAACAGCGCCATCTACAGTTTGAACAGAGGCAATATCCTACACCATAACTGATATCATCTTAACGATTTCTTCCACAAAGCTGACCTCTTTTCCGGTGGCGGTGTCAGCAGATTCATTTTGCTCATCTTTCCCTGCGTCCTCTTGGTCACTCCTCTGCCCCTGGGGCTTGATGCTCTGGGTTGTGCTCAAGGGTCTCTGAGGGGAAGTGGCACTCAGGGCTTGTACACTGGCTTCCAAAGCTTCTTTCTCTTTGCTGAGATTCTTGTAGGCATGGACGATGTCTGGAACAGCAAGACAAGTTGATAGATTGTCACGTCATGTAGGAAGGACCACAACAGATAGATATATGTGTGTATGTACATGTATGCTTCCTGATTAACCCAAATTTTTAGGGGGGGAGGATGTGAAATTGAAAACAAAGAAAGAATTACGTCTACCATAGTGCAAATGTGGTGCAAACTGGCACTTATTGTAAAGATATGTTTTTATGCATGCAACTAAGTCATTTCATTGGAAACAAGTGCCGCCCGACCTAATACAACTGCTTTTGTTTGAGCAACAATAATTTGCTGACCACAGAAAATATTTCCTGAAACCAAACCAGTGTCCCTTTCTCTATGATTCTTAGATTGAAGTTTTCACAGCACATAAACCTGCTGACTGTCTCTCTCATATTTGGGCGCTGAATCTTGCCCCTTGGTCACAGTGTCACTGAAGCATTTAATTATTAGATGCAAACATGTGCATGTATCTGTACATTGTGTCTACTTCGTATCATGAAAATGTTCAATCCTTTTGGTTTCAATATCAACAACTTTTCAAACACCTTACAGTTTAAGATTAAAAAGTTTCATGAGGTTTATGTACATGACTAAAAAATAAATCAAAAGACACAAAGAGTCCATAATTTATGAATTACTGTATCTCAAAATAGCCATCATAGTATTAATTATTGATTGATAAACAATACATAAATAAATGCAATAATTAATTATTGATTACTGGGAAAAATTGCTTATTACTCTCTGTTGGAAGTTGTCACTGGAAAGAACAGATTGTTACTTTTTTCATTAGCATATCATTCTTGAGTGTTTGAATACTGAATTGTAGAATTCTGGAAATGAATCTTATGAAAATCCAATAAATATCCATTGATTGATAATTGATAAATAGATGAACTGATTGATCCCACCTCGTAAGCGACTCTCATATCTGCTCAACTGTTCCTTCTGTTTCTCGATGGTCTCCAAGAGATCTTTTCGGGTTCCCCGGTCCATTTTGGAGAGACTTGCTCCTCAAAAACTCTGAAAAAGACAACATTTAAACTGAATCCATGATGAGTCCACGTTCAGTAGTGTAGCGCTAGTTCAGTGTGGTACACCATTTTATCTCTAGAATTGAATTATTTGCTCGTCCCTTCCCAGACAAAGTTGAAAACTTCCTGTCCACTCCCTGGGAACCTTTTTGAAATTGATGCCCATGGCTGAAATCGGAGGCCATATTTCCACTGTACCCAGTAATTTGGAAGGAAGCATGATTACTTGTTCAACGGTGTTAAAGATAAGTGTAAAAAATGAGTGCCTGAACATTTTGAACAAACTGAAACTGAATGTCCCAATTTATTTTGGCCTGTTCTTTGGGCTACATTCATGAGAGCGAGGCAGACGTCCAACCCCACAGTTCTGGGGGTACCCTCAGGACAGGTGGACAGATGGTTTGTTGACAGTGGTCCAATGTTTCACCCTGCAATTACAGTAGTACATCCTGGGAAAAGTAGGCATTGCCTTCTTTAATTTCCCTCAAATTACGACAGCAATTACAATGAACCTATAGAGTGTATAAATCTGACAGACTGAGTTGCAAGTCAATTTTGAGTTACATGTCCCAACACCGCCGTCTCCCAAAAATCCTTATCTACAATAATTTCATAATCTCTAAGAAAAAGACATAAAATCACAAAATTCGGAGATTCTAATCTTCTAGCAGCTGCATAAAACACCATCTTTATGCATTTTATCTATACTTGGTTCAGTTTAGATGGCTTTTGTTTGCCCAGATATCTGCTTCAGCTATGCCCAATCCACGTGCATCAGATCGGCTTGCACATTTATTCAATACGCTATACTGCCCATCCTTTTTGTTGTGATGATCCCTATTTGACCTGATCCATAAACTGATGAAAGTCCAACATGTAGCTCATCCCTCAGCAAGACTTTTGGTTGTAGTTTGGCAGTATTATACTTGAAAAGTGTCTGTTCTTGGAGGTTGAAATAAACTCATGAATAATGAGAATCAAAAAATGCCTCAAATTGTCCTTAAAATTGTTAGGACAGGTTTGCTCTAAAAATACATCTTTGTGTGACATCACTACTCATGGCCATGGGCCTATCATTGCCTATAGGGCTGCAAGTAAACATCACATTTAATTTCCTTCGTCTGTTAGTTATCTGTTCATTGTGGTGTCTTAAAAATGTTCTGGCCATGCCAGCCTACATATGTACACAAAAGCTTGTGTACAAAGGAGGCAATGTCTACCTTGCGTACCTTATGCCATGTGTCCATGGTGTCAGTTGAGCTGCAGGTGCATGTAACACATACAGTACATGTACATGTAACAAATTACATATATCCTACTGTATGTACATGTATGTAGCTAGCTTAGAACGTCAAACTGGATGACATGTGTACAAAGGCCTACATATAACCACGGAGGTGATATAACATAGGCCTATGTCGCATGACATATGACAGATCCTAACAATACGTTGCCATATTTTCGCTCAGAATAAGACTTAGGTTTAGTATTAATTATTAATCTCACCGAATTAACCCTAGCTCGTCACAAATCGGTCGACTGCATCCATGGAAAGCTGGCAAAAAATCGAATTACATACATTTTCAGGTGACTTTCGTCTCAAAAGGTTCAACCATACGAATACGTGTCACACAATTCGACTAGACTTGTGCGTGCCTAACCTTGTCACAAAATCATTTAGCTGTTTTTTTTTAAGAAAGCGCCCTCTGTCGTTGTGGGAATGATTGGCTTTAATAGGGGAGGGGCGGGGTTTGAAATTTGGTCGGAGAGTTAACGTATACTTCTATATCTATTCAAAAACAAAAAAGTTAGTCGTACTCCGGGTATAATAATGAAACAGACAGTTTAAAAAACACAACTTCACAATTATTGTTGACAGTTCGGTTTGTTAGGCAACCTCACTTTATTTTTATTTGTTCCATAATTTTATTTGTTATTTTTACTTGTTTCATAATCAAAAGAGTTGTTTATTTTGCCAAAATCTGAGCTAGAAAACCAAATGTCTTCTTCAAGGTAAGTCCTGGGACTAAAGCCAACGGTTTTGTATAAAAGTAACAGTGAAAGCTGGATGCAACTGAGTTTTCATTGTCGTTCTACATGACTACGCCCTTTTCTTTTCAACGGGCTTTTCAGTACTGGCGACGGAAATCTCGGCTCAGTGGACATGTACAGCGACGGCCAACCCGCCGACGCGCCTGGGAGTCCACGCTCACAGTTCAATCAATCAATTATAAGTTGAGATCAGCTTAGCGCTGAATGAACCATGAAACGGTGGAGTGTGAGTTACAAGTCAAGGATATGTCAAATTCTTTTAAAACGAAATACTATTATGCAAATAAAGGAAATTTTTTTCCATATGAGCTTCTCCCAGATTTTCTGGAGGGGCAATGGGGGGTATTTCATCGTGTAACCTGTCTTCTGGGGAACAAGGCTAAATGTGGGGGCTTCTAAAACGCTTTTGGAAGGAAAGGAATGAAGAAGTAACCCAAGAATATATTTTCTGTCATTGTTTTTTCAAAAACAAAAATGACCCCTGTTTCCCCCTCCCCAAGTATCAAGGGCACACACATACGCCTCCCTCCGGTCAGTCCAGCAATACCACCTCCATGTAATCAGATTGTACCGTTGCTAATTCACATACATTTTGCCCTAAAGTTTTTTCGTCGCTGCCAGACCCTTGGGGCGCGCAATCCCACAATCACCGCCCACAACCGCCGGTAAATATCTTGCAGAAAATTTCTCCGACAAATTGTTTACAACCGTCTTTTTCAAATAATATTTGAAAAAAATTATTCACAACTGTAATTTAGAAATGAAAGTTCGATAAGATAATGCTGCGATATAAAGCGACTGATCGCGATCATTATCTCACCAAAAGATAAATGGATAATGTCAGTGTCTAGACATACTTGGAATTTCTTAATGGTTTCTTTGACGGGTGTTTTTATTTCTGGTTTGAACCAGACAACGCGCTATGGACGTGACGTGTCCAACACCAAAATATGACCCAGTTGCGAATAGATGCCTGATTTCAGACAGGCCGCAGATTTGGCTGTGGTCGCAAAATGTCTGAATAAGACACGTGTTTGCGGCTTTAGCAGTTCGCCTTTAAGTTTCGAAGGTGTAAACCACATCCTGGCAACAAGACACTCAATTCCGACGCGGCTTGTGGCTGAAGGACGTCACTTTCCGTTTCTGTCCCCAGTTGGCGGTCAGTCTTTAATCGGGTCGGAAAGTTCACATTTGGCATAATGTCCGGCCGGCCGGGCCTGGAAAGTTTAAGCCGAATGAATGTTGTTCATCAAGCATGAAAGTACTCCGCATTGCAAGTAGAAGGAGACAGTTGGAGATATGTTGTCTGATCTGAGAAACAACAAACTAACGGCAGTAACGTTGAGCAGGTTAAAGTTGAAGTAAGTAATTGTTCTTATCAGTTAGGCCACGGTCTATTCCTTCCTCCATGGTTAAGCCAAATGGCTTGGCAAGCGCAAGTGCATGGCCACAGTACGTACAATGCATGTAAGTTGTATGCTAGCGTAACTTGGACCATTCCTAATGTCATGAACGTGATCATGTTGGGACATTGAAAATGGTAAGAGTTCCGGATCTTGGTACCACCACGTATTCGCCACCAAACACAGCAAGCTTCCTACATGCATTGTACATCATGTACATCTTGTTTAACTTTCGCTGAAGATAAGTCCATCGTCGCGGTCGGAGCATGAAGCTCCATGGTCGGAGGTTGTTCACGTCTGGGCAGAGAAGGCCGAACATGCTAAAGCAGGGCAACTTTTTACAAAGCCTCAAGTCAAAGGATATGTTTTCCTCCTTTTTTTGCTGCAACATGATGGAAATAACTGTTACTTTTTTGGTACAATGTGGGAGATATTCACAGTGCATAAACAATGATATTTCGGGGGATCGTAAATTTGGGGGCCCTGTTCCTATAAAAGAAGGCTGTAGGATTGATGTCAAAAGGGCAGGGTTTTGAGTTTTGAGAGACTTGATAAGAGGACACTGTGGTTGTTTCAAACACATGACACTTGGTCAGTGATGATGGATTCAAAGTTTATCAGTAAGAAAGTCACATTTTCTCACAAATTATAATTTGGAATTTCAAAAAAATAAGTTGAGTTTCGAGTGTGAAATATGGAACAGCCACCAATTGACCAATCGGAGAGAAGAATCAAGACTCAGTGACATCATCCCGACCTCAAGAATGGGGGAAATTATTTTTTTTTTTGGAATGCTTCATCAGATTTTTGGGGGGGAGGTTGGGGGTTTCGGTCATATTCTAAAAACTAGGAAAGACTGTAGCATCATGACTCCACTTTCAAGTGTTCTGTATGAAATTTTCAGGCTACTAAAGTGCATATTTTTAACAGAAGTTGAGATATACATGTACATCACTCCCAGATTCATGTGATGTCGACATTTTAGCAATGACTGACCTTCAGTGAGATTAGCAGTACGTAATGAAGACAACAGAGATAGTATGCAACCTTCTTTACACTCCAGACAAATTGTTCATGACATGTTGTGGGAAACGTAAAAGCCAACCAACTCATGTCATGAGTAACACTAACAGGCCAGACAGAGTTACTTGTTGACTAGACCTGTGTGAATTTGACAGCAGCCCAATACAAGAACGTAACAACTCTACACCATAGTTGTGGGCGCAACCGCCCAGCTTGGAGAGGCGGCATATCAAGCCCCATAGTTCTTGGAATGGTGTCAACATGTGCTAAAGCCTAATTGTGGGATCAAAAAATGCTGCGGGGACAAATTTTCATCACTGCAACCCAGTCTCGACTTTCCTTACAAAAAGAAGTCTGTAAGGAAAGAAGTTTGTATATTAACAGCCCAGGTGCCCTTCCCTATCACAGCCACAGATCTCATTGTAAACACCTGCTAAAGCAACCCCCCCTCTTTTGTAAGGTTTTTAACTTTTCAGAAGACCTCTCATGTTTTGTAAGTGATCAGCAGACGTGGATCATGTACATGTATTGTTCTTGCAGTAAACAATTTGAATGTGTATGTCATGTACACAAACACAGATTTACTGGATTTCCAGTACGTTGCAAGATATTGAATTTGCTAAAACATGAAGAAAGGCAGCTTCTGCCTTTGGGTTTGAAATGATGCTGAAGAGCTAGTTAAGCCGAATATAAGTTTATACGAAAGATGTTGTTTGAAGGCTTATTGATAGAAGTGTTTCACTCAACAACAGATGGTGTTGAGCAAGTTTATTCCCTAAGATATGCAGCAGTTGAAATATTAGATTCACCCCAAGTTCTATGCACAGCTAGGGCTTAGATATTTGATCAAATTCAGCTGCAGAAGTACTGTAGCTCAGACACATTTTTAATTGAATTTAAGTTGGACATATCAGTTACAGAGCAAACATTTTTCCAATGGTTGTAAAGGTAGCATGTTTATCATCTCTTTCTGCACAAATCAACCAAGTTGCCCCTGGTGTGTGGGTACTGTGCATGTAGCTCTTGGCATTGGATGCCTACAGAGCGACATGGAGGATCACTTCTGAACTAGGTGTTTGTTTAGTGTGTTGGTTTTGTGGCAGCTTGCAACATGTGGTAAGGCAGTATAAACATAACTGTACCCTTCACAAACACAGTATCCTACTTACATGTACATGCTTGAAAGATAACATTATATAGTCCATGTACATGTACTTGGAAATGTAGGAAAATGATTACATGTACTGTAATTCAAGACAGCATATACCAATATTGGAAATTGAGGACTGCGTAGCCAGGACAGATGTTTCATACTATTTTTCTTTATTGATTCCTGAATTATGTGTCTGTGCCAACATTTACATGTACGTGCATGTTTGTACTCTATAATTTTGTTTGTACATGTGTGAAGACATGTATTGAATACAGAGTTTGAAGGCTAGGGAGTTTGGATACACTGTTTATGTGGTGTTTGTGTTTAATAATTATTAAACAGAGGTATGTTCAAGCCAGAAAAACGAGGAAAAAATTTGCTAAGATTTTGGTATGTTTCAACTGAACATTTAGTAAAATTACCTGGAGCAAATAGGGCTGTGCCGAATATCTGAATATTCGATTGATTATCCAATATCTGAGGATTATTTTCAGAATTTGAATATTCAAATGCAAAATTCATGAAAAGGGGGGGAGAATTGTCCTTTGTTTTAAATGCCAAAAATTGCACTGTGGAGGCTTGTTTCAAGCAGATTCAAATGAACAGCATCAGAAGTGGTACGATTCAAAAAGTAAGTTATTCATTAAAAAATTTAAAAGGACTAGAAATTTTCAACGGGGCAAGAAGTATTGTTCGTCTCTTAAATCTTGCTAAATCGTTGCTGGAGATACTTCTAGACAATATTAAAGTGATTATAATGTTCAATTGTGTGCATTATTGCAACTGATTTTGACTTATACAATTTTGATTTTAACAATGGCTACATGCACTGTTTGGCATGCACAACAGTTTACCCACTGGGAACCCAAGGTGAGGGTTCCCATCGTTTTCTGTTTTCTCTGAGTGACGCAATCTGCATTCAGAATTCAAATCTTGGCATGAACAGAAAAAAACCTTTTAGCTTGTTATAGTTGAGCTCTGAAGACAAATGATACTGCATTCGATTTGGATGCTTCCATATTTATTTGAACGGATAAAATCAGAGAAAACATGTTCCCCTTAGAGGTGTCCTTTAAAATTTAGCAAGTTTGCAGTTTTAATTAACTTCATTTCAAGCGTCACCAATTCTTTGTCAATAACATTGGAAACAGGTGTTCTACGGCAAACAGTTTCTGTCCAAATTTGCCTGTATGTACATGATCAATTTATCTTTCATTTTCCCTGTGGATGTAATCATTGCTTTGTATGTGAAGGTTCTACTTTGTCCGAGCGTATGCGTAGGGCTAAAAACACAGCAATCCACTGTGATATTGCTCCGCTTCACGTATTTTTGTTTTCTTTTGGCGTGATACCTTTTAAAAGCCAGATGTTGAGAATAGAACCTTTTCATTTCCTGTCGCTGGTGGTAAGCTGATATGATGTGTTCTTGAAGAGCATTGAACAGTTGCAGAGTGATGCTACATGTATGTTGGAACATGTTATTGTCTGTACAAGTAATCCACAGTGAGCATTGTATTTTGTTGTTTGTAATAAAGGCGATTTATTACGAGTATTTTGCCCTTGAGGCAAGTCAAGAATCACTTAATTACTGGGATTTTTTAGTAATCGTCATGAATTTTCAAGAGATTTTTTCCTTGTAAAAATGAGAAGTATTAGAAAGGACATGTAATATGGAGCCTTTGGAATAAGAACAAAATGTTTCCCCTTTTTCAGATCCAGCAGAGATTTGTTGCATTTCTCCCATGATGCATCTGTTCAAGACACAATTTCCTAACAAGACAGACAGATGTGACAGATGAACTCAGCAAGCTGTAGCTTTGGAAGCAACATTACGAGACATTGGTCAAGATGGCTGGAGAGGCTCACGCTATCTACTCGTCTTATACGTATCTCGTCTTCTTGAATTTATACACGTTTGGCATCGAGCTGTGCTCCTCTGCGTCCTTCAGCTATCTTCCTCCGTTGCTATTGGAGATGGGCTTCTCGGAGACGGTGATGTGTATCATCATGGCATTGGGGCCGTTCTTTGCTATGGTGGTCATGCCTTGTCTTGGAACAGCTAGTGATCAGTGTACCAGTAAGTATGGCCGTCGTAGACCCTTCATCCTGGTTGTTATCATCTGCCTTAGCATCTCGATGGTCTTGCTTCCCAATGGCATGGATATCGGCATGAAACTGGGTGCGGCCCTCCCAGGACGGTTTACTGGACTGGCCATCATCTCATTCTCCGTCATTCTCTTGGATTTTGGATCGCAAATTTCACTTCTTCCCCTGGAGTCACTGATGTCAGATCAATGCAAGACTGAAGTGCAGCTGAATAAGGCATACTCTGTCTACAACTTTATGCTTAGTCTTGGCTCCAGCTGTGGCTACTTGGTGCTATTTATAGACTGGAATAAGACATATTTATTTACGCTCCTGGGTGGTAAGGAACACATGATCTTTTTCATTTTGCTTTTTCTCCTAATCTTGACAGCATTACCCACACTCCTCTTTGCTTATGATCCACCAATCACTGGCCAGGAATTGAACCCGGATGCTTCAACCTCCATCCCATCAAGTACAGACTATCAAGTCAATACATACTTCAAGCAGAATGGCAAAGCTACTGGGTCGGTTCCAGCCAGCCTCGGCAACAACTCATTACGTCATGATCAAATCCCTCCAGTCGTGCTCTCTCCCAATCCACCGTCCATATCCATCAACATGCCTGCCGTCGTTACACTCGGAACTCCAATTTCCATAGGCCAAAGGCACGTTATTCTACAAATCGCATATCAGTTTATAAATGTCCCGTTAAGCTTTGTATGCACATGTGTTTACTTCATCATTCCCAGATCCTACAAGATGTATTTATCAGACACCGTCCATAGCTTAAGAACTATGCCACTGGTACTTCGTCAGCTTTGTGTTGTTAATCTGTTAACCTGCATGGCTGTCATGGGGTTCAAACTGTACTTCGTAGATTATGTCGGTGAGGCGCTATATCACGGAAATCCTGACTCGCCTCTAAATTCACTGCCAAGAATATCCTACGAAAATGGTAAGTCTGTCTTTAACATATCCGAAAGACGCTGTTGCAAATGAAATCTTTGGCCTAGCCATGATTCTCTCCAACACATTTTGCATGAGTGCAGAAATATCAGATGTTTCTCCTTTGTCATGTTTAATGAGGTTGTTACCATGGTAAAGGCAATTATCGTAGTTGGTGGGGACTTAATTGCACACTAGCCTATTCTCAGCGTTCAATGATGGCAGCTATTGCCTTGACTAGGAGCTGGTTTGTCCCTGAGGGAAAAGCTGGGACATAGTCGTTGTTGTTTTTTTAATAAATTGACCATTTTCCTAACTGTTTTACAGTCTTATCTTTGTTCTTACAGGAATCAGAATGGCTAGCCTGGGTCTTCTCTTCCAGAGTATCACGTCTGCCATGTTTTCTTTTGTCCTCAATCATCTTGTCCTCTCCTACGGCATTATCTCCACATTTCTCTTTGGCATGTTAAGTTTTACCATCATGACGGGACTGATGTTAGTTGTCGAGGATATCTCCTTGACGTTGCTGCTTGCGGCTTTTACAGGATTTGCGTCAGCAGCTATAAATGCACTTCCATGTACTCTGCTGTCGATTTATCACCAAAATCAAGAGGTTTGTACGATAGCCCTAGGGTTGTGCCAGTAGTTAAGTTCTTACAACACTGTCATAAGCCAAATCACAAGCTTTTTTGTTCATTCCGTGTGTGAGCACACTTACGTGTGAGATTTGGGATTGACTTCTGACTGACTTTCAATTGACTAGTGACTAACTTGTGATTGATTTGTGACTGACTTCTGATTGAGTGGTGGCTGACTTGTGACTAACTTGTAATTGACTTGTGACTGACCTGAAACTTGAGTTTTGACAGACTTGTGATCAAGTTGTACTGACTTGTAATGAAGTTTTGACTGACTTGTGTTTGAGTTGTGAAATAACTTGTGGTGTGGGGGAGTTGTTACTGACTTCTGATTGACGCTGCAAGGAGTTTAGCATAAAATCCTTCCAACCTTCTGTATACTTCTGATTTGACATACTAATAATACCGAGAGCAGTAGAACTTTAATATTGCTGAAACAAGAATTTCTCAAAAGCACCCACAGCAGTGTCACAATCTTAAAGAATTTGAGAGATGACAGTAAAGAAATAATTCTTGGAAGAGGTGGAAAGAAAACTGTTTGTGTCTTGATTTGTTTGGTTCCAGAAGTACTACAGTGATACGGAGATGAAGGCCACGGAACCCAGGGGTATTGGTTCAGACATGGCATTACTGGATAGCGCATATGTCCTGTCTGAAGTCCTGTCTTCTTTCCTGTTTGGTATTGCAGTAGAGATAACGGGAACCACCCTGTCCTATATGTTCTGTTGCTGTGTATGCAGTGTTTTAGGCAGCTATTATATATTGCAGTTAAAATGTTGAAGTGACTGGAAATCTTGCCCTAATATTTTAGGATCTTGGCATCAAGAATGGACCCACAATAAAATGTTTGGAGGATAAAGAGGTTTTCTTGGAAGGGAGTGCCAAAAATTTGAAAGTTTTATAAAGTAATTTTTATGGCCTTTCTTGGGGATGGGGCTATTTTTTTACGGGGGTGGGGGCTTTTCCCATGCTTTGGAAAGAAAGGGAAAGGGGAAAAGAAAGAGAACTTTTTTTTAATTTTTACAGCTATTTTGGTTCCATTTTGTGGGGTCATGGTCTCTGTTGCCCCTCCCACGCAGATCCATCATTGATTAATTAGCATATGACCTCAGCATGAACATCAGTTTCAGTTTAGCGCCAAGATGGTTTGTAAATCCTCGGGAACTAAATTTATCCTTACGATCACTGTGAACATCTAACAAAAAAGTGCGGTACAATAACGATGGATGCTCATTAGTGCTGGGAGTTTTTTTTGTTAGATGTTTGTGACCTCAACTGACCTTTGGGTGAAAATCAGGTTGATCAATTTGGCTGCGTCAGATTGACTTGGCTGGGGTTGGAATTAACAGGTGTTTCTACGCAGCCACTGATGGCAGCTTCTGTAGAGACATGTGCTACCTCTACAAGTAGCCACAGCCCAGTAAGTCAGACACAGCTAGATTTTCTTACATGTGACTCTGAGGTGACCTTTTGAAGTTAAAGATGGCCCACCATATTTGCATATGACCTTGACCATGGAACTTATTTTGATGTCTTTTAAAGTATGATCTTGGTTGGTCATTTCTTCTAATTGTACAACAGACCTTGAGTTATTTGGCAAACGAACTCTTGGAAAGTACAGGGCTGAGTCTGTCTATTACCCCTGATTGTTAGTTTCTAACACGTGTACAACACCAGGTAACAAACAGTGCACGAATGCAAATCTGAGTTGGACAAGACAAGTTCATATCAGTTGCAATTTTACATTGGTCAGACTTGACTTAGTTTTACAATAAACAATTGCACAACTACTCACAAAAGTATTTTGTATTAGAAAGAAGGTAGGATTTATTTTGGAAAATCTATTTTTGTGCAGAGTTTTATCACTTTTGCTTCAAAATAACTTTAACTTACAACATTTCTAATGCAATGTCCACAATGTTTGAGATATAATGGGTCAAGGTTGTGGATGATTTTGAAAACGAGAAGTGTTTTGAGGATGATGAAAATCACCCAGATATTCGTGTTTGCATTTCTATATTGCTGCTATTTGTAGTGTACTTAAGTTTGTCTCAGATGTTTATGCATACTGTATAGTCCTACATGTGGAAGTGGACATAGGTCTAAATTTTTATAGCATAGATGTGATTTTAATGTAAGATATAGCTACAAGTGTGTAACATACAAGCAAACTTATCCTTAGCTCATATATTTAAAAGAACTTCAAAGGAGGGTAACAAATTATCGGGATCGTATTCATACCTGAGGGAAATGGGAAAGTGAAACCAAGGTGACATCACAAAACATGGCAAAATTCGCTTGAGTTGAAATATCTTCTACTTTTTCAAATTTGTAATTTTTAGCATATTTATTAGAAACAAGTCTTGCGGCATTCAATGAGGTGTGCTAAGTAACTTAAATGTTTATATATATTTTTAAAATTTGATGGCTTTGTTTCAGTTCAAGGAATTTTTTGATTTAAATTCATTCGTCAAAACTATTCTAGTATTATGAAGTGCCAAAGTACTGTCCAAGAAGCTTTTCATTTTAAGTTAAAGAAAAAATGGGTTCTAAGTTTTTTTTTAATGCATACTGAGAATTCATAATCGTGTAGTGAATTCTTTTGGAGCTGCAGATAAGGAAATGGCTTGTAATGTGTTTCATCACAGATTACAAATCTCAATTCTCAAATTGCAAATACTCCAGTTCAGTTGTATTCTAAACACCAAGGCCCAAACTGAAGATGAGGGATTTGCGACAAGAACGTTTGTAGCTTATCTGAATCATGCTTTTTAATTTGCATTTCAATATTTTCAACCTTCACCTTACAGTTATTCATTTTTATTTTAAAGTCCATTTTTCTTTACGAGCTCCTTCAAGGCTGTTCGCTTTGCAAAATATTTATTTCTGTAGATTCGTGTGTATTTATTTTCTATTATCTTGTTGTCATGCATGAATATTCACCTGTCGATTTGCCACTAAAATGTTTGCCTGAGATTGGTCTTTGTGACACAAATCAGAATTGGCCTCTGGGATCGTGGCTTTCAGTATTTCGTGCGTCTGTGTCTGAAACCTTTTAAGAAGTTCCACTTTCCACATCTCCTATGAATGCTAATTCGTAAGTTGTCATTTCGTTTCTTTTGAATTTACAAATGGAGAAATGTGACATCAATTTTTCAGGGATTTTCCTCCCAACAATTCCAGCAGGTACTACCTGTGCCTTTAAATTTTTCCTAACTCAACTCCTCTCTTCATTTGGCCGCGACTCACCATTTTTTATTCAACTGTAGCCGTCAGATACAGTCTTCACGAGTGAAACTCGACACGGGTCAAGACTTGTCAGGGTACAGTCCACTAATTTAAGTCCCATTGAAAACAGTATAAAATCAGCACTGTTTAGGGCCCAAATAGCATGCANATTTATACACGACCCACGATCTCCTGCTGTTTCACCTGACTCGGATCGGCCAGCTCGGTGGTCGAGTGGTTCAGACGTCTGCACTACTAAGCAGGAGGTCGTGGGGTCGAGTCCCACCCGAGTAAGCTTGTGACTTTTTTCGCAAGCTCTCGGACAAGCAATGAGCATACAGTGTTTATAAATATATAAGTTGGGTAAGAGCAAAACCCGTTATATAAATTAACATCTCCCCAACACGAAAATACATCTTGAAAATTTTTTGTGGGTTAACCAATTACATTTTTAATTATTCCCACAAAACAAAATCACCCCAAAAAAGTGATTTTTCCGAAGTCTGATCGCAGCCATTTTTCAAGTGGCAACCCTCAACTTTCTTGGGCACTTAAGACCATTTTTCAATAATAGTGTTTAGCCCTTCTGCTCTCATATGAAAGCTCAAAGACCCAGGGAGTTGATCCTGGCAACGATTTACACGATCTCACCATTTTGGGGCCAAACAATCTCCTTTTTCAAAAGATACTGTGGGGGGGGCACTTTTAATGCCAATGAGCTGGCCAAAAATTCTCACTTGAATTAGTGGTCTGCACCTGTCAGAGACCTGTGGAGAAGCGGCAAACTCGAACAGCGCCCTCTACATATTCACGGCTGAACCTAGCGGTTTAGACGACCGTTCAAAGGGTTAACCTAATTTTAGAACCCGTAGCTCGACCAGTCGATTTGAATAGCGCCTTCTGTACTGATGTGGTTGGATGTGTGCGAGGGCGTAGTGGTGGCATCAAAAGTGTTCTTAAAAATTTGTGTTTTAAATTATTTCAAAATATTACAAATAGATTACAAAATACCCTAGAAATCAGCATTTTTTTTTACACCGACTGCAAGAGCGACCCGTTTGGGATTTAGTCGTTACATCTTTCAGGTTCTTGCTTTTCGTTGAGTGTGAAATCACGGTTTGAAGAGACATTTAACCTTTGAACTTGGCAACTTTTCCCGCTAAATAAAGCTGTCGAAGTTTCAAAGCTGGGGGTGACGTGGATTTGTGCCTTACATTTGTCAGACTCCACAAGGGGCAGAAGTTGAAATGCCTCTGTCATTTTACACTTGTCACAATCTCGAAAAATGCCCCTCCTGAACTTCCGCTGGATTTACAGCCAATCGGAAGAAATAACTTCTGAAATAAACAGGTTGCTTTGTGACAAGTATTTTCTGAGCTTTTGTTCGTCTCCCGGATACCAAGCCTAATAGTTGCGGTTAGTTCTACAGACCTGTGCTGTAGCCAGGATTAAGTCCGTGGGGTAGCGATCTTTGATTTTTTTTTAAATGAAAGTCGCGGCCCATTTTGTCCGTTAAAGTGCTAGACGATACTGCAACACAATGTGATCATCCGTGGGGCTGAAACCAACAACGGTGTGAAGTCTCTTCAGGAATGACCGGAAATGCATTTCAAACGTGATGCGGAGACATCGTTCAGAAATCTGACTTATGGGTCCGTGATTAATCAAACCTATATTGACTTGTCTGCGGGAAGGTGTTTGCTGAACGAGTTCCAAATTGACTGTATTTGCTTTAATGTCCATAAATTTTCCAGTAAGCTTCGTCTGCGCTCGTAATTTGAGGGATTTAAATCTTGTTCCAGGTCGACACTGCTAGTGCTATTCAATAATGTTTGGAGGATTGGTTTTTCGTCGTCCATGTTAATAAACTGTTTCCGTTGCCAATCGGGGTTTGTTGCTCTCTCGGTAGGTGGTCTCTTTAACGCTCGTCATGTCGACTAGATGCAACTGGTGATTTTGAAAGCACTTGACGGTCTAACCTTAACTGCCTGGCATCAAGTTTTTTCTGGGGTGCATTAAACGATTGCCAGTCTCAGATATTCACCTTTATCTCGATGACCAAAAACTCACATTTTTTCTTTACCCCGAGGCAGAGCCCCGATGAAATCACGGTGGTGTATTTTAAAGACAAACCGCTCTGTCATGTGAGTTTGTTTTTTTTAATCAGCTCTGTGTAGTTCTCAGATTTGGTCATTAAGGTTGATAGATTGAGTCGCAAATTACTGAAGGTCTGACTTGCTGCTAATATCAAGTGGCGCAGTGCAATTCAATTACGCTTCATCCGATGAAGCAACGACTCAATACACCTGTATTTTGATCCTGCAAGAAAAATATGCATCTTTAAATAAATAACAGGAAAACTGAACAGGATCTCTCTCTCTCCCCATCAATATTAGGATAAAAAGAGAAATTGTCAGGCGTGGGATTTGACCGTGCTGCCTGCTTTCGGGTGATCATGAGTGGTTGGGCCTAATCTTGATTCTAGAAATCTAAACAAAAAATCAACAATTTGTACACAACGCTATAAGTAAAACTGGGTCCACGCATGCACAGAAACCATTTTGCGACTTCCTTTCCATTACATGCTTAGCGTGTACCGCTACGGCGTCGAACTAATCGAATTCCACGGAGTGTACCGCATTTTGTTTGCATGGCGATTCTTTGTGTTCGATACAAACAACATTTACTTCCGTTGCCGCTAATCGATTCCGGTCCAGCGACTATAGAATGTATATAGACACGACCCAGAACTGGGTTGGAGAGAACTACGGGAAATCACCACAAGTGGCTTCCACTTGAGAGGCAGGCTGGGGAAACATTGCGGTTGTCTCAATTGAGAACCTCGGAAGACAGTTTTGAAAAGAATCGATTTTTTTTCTAGTGAAGACTACAATGGATGGTATCTCAATAATTGCAATTGCCAACATTTTGCTTTAGGCACTAAAATCAGGGATATAATGCATAAATTGCATTTTTTGTTGGAAAAAAATCGTGCAAACGACAAGTTTTGGAGACAGAATCTAAGGAATATATATATATTCTTAGTATGCATATTTAACGGGGTAAACCCAGTGAACAGCTATGCACATCGGTCTGAGGTACGATTCGAACCCAGGTCACAGAGGTGGAAGGGTAAAAACCGATTGGGTTTGTAAGGGTAATTCCGTCCTTTCCGAATAGTGATTGATCTAATGTCTCTCAAGGCATTGTCCTGACTGGGAAATACGACCACTGACGTCAGTACAAACAGACGAATCTTACTGAAGTCGGTGTCCAAATAGCCTCTCTGCTCACACCACCCTTCTACTGCGTGTTACCTCTCAAGTTACTTTGTCTTAATCTTTTTTGAAGAAGGAAGACTTATTCCCGTCAAGAGTGGATCAAAGGATTTTGTTTTAGGTTCACGTGCTGCCCGCCGGCGACGGAAAGCAAGCACCGGTAGTTACGCGTGCTCAACGCAGTACCGAAGCTTTTCAACCGGGTCAGCTTATTGTCGCCTGGAGCGAATTTTAAGAGGACGGAGAGAGATGATTTCCGGTACTTATTGGTATATCTCTTCTTCAAACCCTCCCCGGATGCATGTTTCGTATATTATGTGGGCATATGGGCACATTGAGGTTAATACTGGGGTTGCAAACAGGTTGAAATGATCGTCAATAACTTGACAAAATTTGGGATAATTTACAATATTGAGCCATAATAGTTGAAGTTCCTGTCCTGAATTTACTTCATGAAGTGGAACTTTCATCAGCATAAACTTTTTGTTGTGACTTGAGAATAAAATATCCTGACAATCCACGGACACCCTATAATTGTCTTAAACTGAGTGTGCACTTTATTACAACTTGCATCGGGGGCGTCGATCCATGCCAGTTCGGGCCTTCAATCGCAAATAGGGAATTATCTATGGTGTTCCCTTGAAGAGGAGCCGCTTGCGAAGTTCCGCTTCCGTTTACCTGGAAATCGTCGGGGGGAGTTAAGGGATACTTTGATGATGATGTCAGAACAAGGGGAAGTCCTATACATTCCTTTCATATTGCCACAAATCCACTGTTGCTATTTTTGGCTCTGGTCACTGACCTATTTGTGTTCAGTGGTCCTCCCTCCGCTACCGTATGACGTCATAAGACAAGTGCTGTAATCCCAGATTTTGACCACACCAGAGTTGAGTCGTTTCGCGGCTTACAGCGGCGATTTTGCCAATGGGTTTGGACAAGGCATCACGGGCAAAGACCAGCTGGACATTTTAAACAAGATAAAAGAATACCCGTTCTTGACCCCATCGGCTCAAGATTTATCACACGGTCTTATTTCGCTCTTCAGAAGGTGAATATCTGTTTATAAAAAAATGTGAAGGAAATACGTCACAGCTATGGGCGTACAAAGCATTATGGGTTACTTGCTTTCCTAATACATATGTACAGCCAGTGCCACGTACTGACTCGTGTAACTCTTCAAACTCTATCCAATGAGTACTCGACAAAAAATTACGTCATGCATCTGCCCTTCCCGATCGATCGGGTATCGACGAGCAAGGCTGTACTAGATAACACTAGATCTTTATTGGATGGTTCCGCTCACGTGATGTCGTCCTCTGATCGCACATTCTTTTTTCACACACCCTTTTTTACAAACACCCAGATAATCTGTACATGCACAAATTGTTTTACCGTCCGTCCTCATTTCACAAGGGCGCTCATTGGCGTGAAGACTTCAGTGGACTTTGTGTTGGACGTGAAAGGACTATCCACTGTCTTTGAGTATCATGTTGAGTCAAAATATAGCTCCCTTGATAGCCTGGTATCACAAATATACCAAAGAATGCATTTGATTGAGTGTGTAACACGCCGTCGTGTCGCAAACTAAATGTATAAGGATTGCAGACTGGAAATAGTTAAAGGGAAAATAGAGTTTAGTGTCACATCTCCATACCTTCACAGAATCTTTTCTCTTGACGTAATAATGATGACTGCTTGAAGTCCTGTTCGTGGAGCCAAGATGCTACGAAGATAAGCAAAATTTTATTTTGGACTAGAACTGTCATTCATAACAATGATTAAGGCCTCATAGCACTTTTAAAATTTGTACAAAATACTAATTCGCTCAATGTGAGTTTGAGAATATAACTTATTTGAAGTTACTGTATTGACTTTGAAGTTAATTTTGTTTATTTTGAGCAGATAACATAGATTTGTTTCTAATGTTTAAACAAAATAGCAGGAACATCATGCCTTAGATTTTCAGTAGGAACCAGACATTGAATTGAGGCATATACAAACAGCAATACCACAGCGTATTACAGGCATACAAACCACATACAGCCGGAGGTCTGTTATAGGCGATGTAATATATACAATGTCACGATTTCGTTAATGCAAATGCAAAGTTCTTTTATGAATGGAGTTGTATTGGTCGACTTTCGACCTATCCCTCCTTAATTAAAAGCAAACAGATAAAACAGATGCGCATCTATCCAAGCAACGGGGAGGGTGGTATAATCACGAACGGAACATGGTTTTGGAGCCAGTTGCACCGTGAAATCGGGAGCGAAGATCAGGAATTTACCCGACTGCAGAGCAATGAAATCCGGTGCTGGTTTGATTCGGGGATTTTCATTCCAGCATTGTTTGGGATCAGCACATGTGCCAAGTTTTACACTCTGGGTTTGAGTGTTGGAAGTATGTCTGTGCATTGTACTTTTGGTGAAAACAAGTGAACGATCTGGAACAAAGTTGTTACAAAAATAAATGCAACATGATTATAGTAAAAATACATTGATCATCTTTCAAACGCTCGTTGAGCTCTCTCGTAAGACAAAGTCATCTTGGTAAAACTGACTCAGTCTTCGGAAATAGATATGTTAAAGCTGCCATTGGTGGAGGGGGGCCGTTTAAAATATTTCCTTATACCCTCTCCTCAGGAAGAAAAATATGGAAATTGCATTAGCATTGAATCCTCAGACATAATAGTGTCTGATCCTTGATCAGATGCTGATGAAATTAGAGCTATTTTTCAAACTATTTGACGTTTATTCCTTGTATTCCAAGGCACGTTCGCAGGAACTCAGTCCAAGCACGGAATTCTTGTTCGACATTATTGAACTGCCGCTGTGCACGACACTGGGCACGAATTAGGATGGCATTAAGACTTTGGTCTTTTAAAATTTTAATGGTTCCAATTCCGCTGTTTGATCTGATTTTTAAGTCAACAATGTGACCGGAAAAAAATCAGCGGGAAACGGTAGGAAAAATGACCGGGGAAAACCACTTAAAGTCGGCGGAGTCTGAAACGTGACTTTCATAGTATGCGAACCAACAATGGAAGGATCGCGGTGATCAGACTCGCATTACTAGTCCTCTGAGCGTCATTGTAGATGCCATAAACCGATGTTAAATCCGGGTATAAAGCTCTCCAAACGGTTGTAAAGGCCCAGGGGTATTTCATTTGTCCCTGGATGGTCTTTCAGAAAGGTAAACGGTGGGAAGGGAACACGGATCTGCGCCATGGTTTGGAAACTCAACACAGTCGACAGGTCATTCCTGGGGAAATTATTTGAATTTGACAGCCTTTTCCAAATTAAATTATGAAATGAAAACCTTAAGAAAAAGAGTTTTCCGGAATTTGGCGAGACGAAAGAGGAAGTAATCCCCGAAAAAGTGTCATTTGTGTAGTTAAGTTTAATTTAAGTTATGAAATCTAGTCTTAAAATGTCTTGAAATCAAGTTGGGCTTAGTTAGACAAGGAAAAAAGCACATTATATACAGTTTGTTCCAATTACAAACAACGGATATGTGTAGATGCACTAGGTCCATATAAACAGAAAATGTAAACTGATTCGCGCCCACTTTGACGGTGGAAACAGCGTCCAATACACTTTGTACAATTGCGCAACGCCTTCGAGTCGTCGAAGGTCACGTGGTGCTGATATCAGGACACGAAAATCAGCTCTTCGTAGAGGTGAGATCGTGGGGGAACAGGAAAGGAGACAAATCATCATTCCGAGAGAAATCATCCTAAAAGGTAAGCATTTGAATGAAACATTCCAGGTCAGGAAATCTGCTGAATCTCATTTGGTTCAGAATGTCACTTACTATGACAAAGACGCGTGTTTCTCTGGGGCGTTCTGCGACCAAATAGCAAGGACACGAACCAAAAGGGCGTATGCATCGGCTGCATAAAGGGGCCAACATTGCTCTCCTGAGCAGCCCGTCTGAGCATGTCCAATTAATTATTGTCATTGGATTCATTGTGTCATCGGATCCTGGTGATCGCGTGTCTGCGTCAGATTACTCAGAGATCCTTCCTATTAGCTAATTAAAAGACCTCGTCAGAAAGAAAATATTGCAATATTTTAAAAGCTATGTAATAATCTACTCTCTTATCACCTCGTGTGACTAAACTTTTGTTTTATTGCCAGGAAACTTCAAGATTAGCAGATTCAAAATGCAAAGAGCACCTTTGATTTAGATGTGTCCCCAGTGCGTTTTACAGGTTCAGAAGGGTTGTTGCTTAGGAAAATGCGGTTGCTAGGCAACAAGTTTATGGAACAGATGTTGTCATTGAATCCTGAAAGTTGGATATCAGATATCCTTTCCCCATGTTAATCTAATAAAGTGAATTTGTCAGAAAAAATAACTGTTTGATAACATGGACAGTGTTTTGTATACAGTATGCACCAGCTTCATTTTTCATCTGTTTGTGTGACGTCACATTTTGTTCCAGGTGTAATGGACCACAGTAGGAATTTTTAACACCAGCAATTCAAACACTCGGAGGGCTAATCTTTTCAGAAATACTCATTACACATCATTTTCCGTGAGTGAATAATCCCTCAGGCTGAAAACCTCTTGCTCTAGGGCCTGTAATGGCTTTCTACGTTCAAAATGGGATCATTAATTCTTCAATGGGCTTGCACGAAAGTGGAGGTACATTAGACGTCATAAAACACTGGCAGCGAAATTCACTCAAGTTGAAATGTGTTCAACTTTTGCGAATTGGCAGTAAAATAAATTTGATATGACGTAACTTTGCAATCGTGTTTTCTTTGGCGCCAAAACCGAACTGGCCTTGAATCCCCCAAATCATTTGCTTTGGTAGTTAAATGTTAAGGAAGCATGTCGTTAAGTCAATTAAATTAATCTTATATAATGCGAGTTTCCACACATACGTCTGAACATAACTTACCTAATTGAGAGGTTTCTCAATAGATATGTTTCTTGCGAGTGCGTCCATTAAGACTGTGCAGTGACAAAACCAAGAAATCGTCGAAGTTCTAAATGTACAAAACTTTAATAAAATACAAATGACATGGTTATCTGTATTTCATATGTACTGTCTAAGCCGAGCTTTGTCAGAGACGTTTTCTGTTTACCTTTTGCGAAAATTTCGACAGTGTACAAAGCATCTTTGCAATGTTTGCAAACTCTATCAATTAATTATCGATATCAGTTTATGTCTATTTACAGACTATATAAAGTAGTCAGCATTTAATCTTCTGCAATGACATGACATATTTTCACATGCCACGCCGATGTGTCATGAATTGGTTGTCCATGGATGTAACATGAATCTCTTGCTGATTACGCTGAGCCTTGTGATTGGTTCATCACGATCGACTTAAATGCTGTGAAACGTTGCATCTGGTTTCTGAGCCCACTTGTTCCCAAAGCCACTCGAGATTACTCGACAAATTAAGTTCTCTTCAGGATTTGAGATTCACCAAAGTTTTTGCCAATCACGTGTAGGCCTATTTGTAATTAATAAGCTGACTGGCAGATATCAGGGTTGTCGTAATTTGTAGGTCGTTCTGGGTTTTTGGTAGTCCTGTAAATTGGCGCATTCGCGTTGATTGTCTCGTAATTGCAAACCCAGTACTTCTACTGAATACACGCAGTTTTGTTCTCATGGTGATTTCAGAGTGACATTTATGCATTTAACTTTCAACCCTACTGAAAAAAACCGTGGTTGTGACTGTTTTCCACTGGCAAAATGTAGCCTTCGTCAATGATACAAGAGAGAATCTTATTGTCGCGTCCTTGTTTTCCTTGAATGTTTTTACTAAAAGTTTTGAGTGAAAATATACTTGTGTACTTTGCACAACTCCATTATTTATTATTATCCATAATAGCCAAAATAGCTTAACAAATACCACCCCTTCCGCAAATTATGTTCTTTCTTAACTTACACCATTTTAAGCACTTCGGTGATGGCGTTTGACTATTTATAAACTGAGGGTTAGAATGGACAATCGTTGTTCAGGAGTTGTTATCCAAACAGCAGGTTTGTTTCCCTACCGTTTATTAATGTTCGGGGAACATGTTTTCAGCAAGCATTTCAGCTGCTTGGTAAATTGACCCGACAAGGTGCCTCGAGACACGGTTCCATTTTGAGATCAGTAGAAAGGTTGGTGGGGTGACTAGACGAAATGACTCGTAGATTCAACGCGGGAAATGAGGGATTGGCTTGCACTGTCCGTCGACTAAAGCAGCATGCTCACTCACTCCTCATGCTGAGATTACTGTAAAGATTAGAGCGCATGTGTGGGCATGTTCCTTGCGCATCGCTTGTATTTTCTTCGCAGCTGCGCAGGTGTGAAACATATGCAAGGCAGGCTTTAACGATCACAGCACGGAGTAATCTTGGCACGCTTCATTCACAACTGCTCCTTCTAAGTGAATTACGTGGGTTTGTCTCGCTGGACAGAGCAATAAAGATTTGCCGGCACGACGAGAGAGCTTCGCCGGACTTGTCTTGAATCTGTTCTTCGGTTATAGCAGGTAGTGGCCATGGGATCAGGTTAAGGATTTTTATTACTTCGTCTACAGATCCAGCGCTCACGGGGGATGCAGTTGAATATGAAGCGATCAAGATTGGTTTTCGGTAACGTGATTTGTTCGTGGAAATTCATTAGGTGACCGCGTGGATTAGCGTTCAGAATGCAAGGAGTTGTGTTAACGTGCGCAGAATTCGGGAGTGAAATTTTGATTTAAGAAGTTCAAGTTCGCTCATGCAACCCGCTTTGAATTTCCAGCTTGCAAGACAGAAATATGATTCCAATTAAATTAAAAGGAGGACGAAATCGGAATTCAGTTAAAATAATGGTGAAGTCATGAAGGACAAAATTTGAAAGGAAGAAGTTCCAAAACTGGGCCACGTACAGGTATAGCCCTCGCTCTAAACTCTGCTCGAAACTCATGTCTTGAATTATTGAAACCGAAAGCTAACTTGAGGTCAGACATGTTTAATTCATCTCTAGCTTTTTCCGAGGCAGTCGGCGTATATCAGGCGGTTCGTTCCGCCCCAGAAAATAAACAGCACTTCAGCAGACGAAAACGTTTTCGTCAGGTCTCGTGTGGGGCACTTGGGAGGTCCGCTGTATCGTTTAGACCTAGAAAGGAAACAGCTCATAGACCCACAGCAACTGCCACTTATTGATCCAGTTTTCTAGTACTCGGAATGATTATACTGTAAAGTCAGCATTTCAGACACAGTGTTCAGGGCTGAGGGGTGAGAAAAGTTTTTAAAATGCTCTCCTGCGATCTGGAGAATTTATACGCTGAGTTGAAGCCAAAGTTGCAGCATTGAGTTGAGTTGTATTTATGAAAATTTAGATCATTTCGATTCCTGTATTTGACTGTGCAATCGCTAAATACATTGTAATTCAAACTGTTTCTATTTCTGTGAAATTTGAGAGGATAGGTTCAACAGCGACACGGCGAAGTCTTAATACAGCCTACCCATTTGCCCTGGGCCTTCAATAACAATAAAGATCGGACCCCCCCCCAAGAAAAACCGAAATAACAGTGTCAAGAATGATATAATTTTTGGGTAGCGGCTCTGACACAAAGACGGATACAATTTTGTTCCAGAATAGTTTTTCTGAAAGTGTATACACTTTGACAAAATATACAATCATGGGATGTGTAATGGGCGGATTGGCGTTTTATACGCGTATATGGATGTTTTTCACGTGACGTATACATGACGGGCAAAGGCATTTCAGAAAGCGTACCATGTCCGTGGCGGTGCGTGCGTTTTCAAATCTATGCATTTCGATTCAGTGGCTATTTCATGTACGCCAGAATGTTTAGAAACTTCAAGGCGTGCGTGTTTCGGCGCACATCTGTGTAAATTGAATACTGACCGTCAAATTCACGTGAAGGAAAATCCTCTATAATACGAATACGACCCTTTTGCGAAAGTGATTACGCGTGTCGTACTTGCAGTGCGCACTCTTATGTGAACTGGAAAATGCTACATAAAAGCGAATACATACTTATTTTAAGGCAGCTTGGATCATGAGCTGCAAACCGGTCAAGCCAATTGACAGTTTTGGCTAATTACCCTTGACGGTTTTGACAACGAAACCATCTTGACCAAGCGGCTATTTAGCTCGGAAAAGAGGTTGACATTGGCATCAACTTAAGTTTATAGTTCCAATGTAACACGTATTGAGGATGCCTTTGATGTTTGAAATCTGTCGAGAGCGAGTCTCACAACCAAGACTTCAAGAGATTACTAACGGCTGAAATTGAGGACAAGTAGACAGGTATATCAACAGCAGTGGGGCGGCATCGACGGCACTTTGTGACAAATGATGTAGTAGATGGATGTAGTTTCGCCCCTAGACAGAGAACATTTATTGGCAGTTCACGCGGGGTGCGGTGACATAGATTTCCTCTGCGTGGACAGGCGGAATCGCCTGCCAAGTTAAAGAGATGTCATACCAATAAAACTGTTTTCCTAAGAGTGAACTGAGAGGTTTGTTGTCAGGAGACATGAAGAGATCGCGTCACGGGTGACAGTGTGTAAATGTCTGATGGGAACAAGCAAGCAGCTTTCTGGCGTCAAATCAATATCGTTAACAAACTACTGGTATTCCTATTTCAAGAAGCAAATTGAAAAAGTTCAAGAACAGTCCACTGTGCTTTTCCAGTTTGAAAGCCTCCTTCGTTACCAGATCCCTGCGGTTTTGTCTTGTATGTCGCGATTTCAAGATTTTGTTATGAGGCAAATTAAAG